TATTTAGGATATTATGACATACTGTTTGCATAATTCAGTACAAACTGTTTTAAATATTCCATATTTTGAAGGTGATTTTTGGGCAAATGCTATTGAAGAAAATATTAAAGGTAGCCGTGTTTCGTTTTTGATTAATAATATAAATGAAATTTTATTGGATTCTATTATTTAGAATTTGATCAAGAAGAACAAAATAGAAGAAAACAAGAAATTGAAATAGGACTAGAAGTGAAAGATAATGATTCAGATGATACAAATGAACTAGAAGATTCAACAAAGGATAGTTGAAATGTCATTTATTTTTGTATATAAACATTAGTTTTATTTTAATAAAGATTTCCGTCAAGCATAAGTCGGCGATCACTTGCACTATGAAAAATGTGACGAAAACAAAAAGTCAACGAAAACCAGCAAAAAAACAAAAAACAAATCATAACACTTTAATATCAAAAATATGTAGAGTTATGGAAAAGCACAAAAAGGTAAAATACTAAAAAGAAAGTTGAAAAAAAATCTATTGAATTCGATATAAATTTTGATTAATGCTTTGTATATTTGAAAAGGATTTTCTAAGAAAGGTTCATGAGAACATTTTCATTGTTACATTAAGAGGAAAAAACTATTCTAAAAAGTATAACTATATAGTTATATTAGAAAAATTTCGAATTCAAAATATTTAAAAATGTGTTTTCAAATAAATAAAACTATATGTGTAAAATTGAACTGCAAATTTTATCCATAATATTTCAAGAAGGCAAACCTTCATATTTTTCTTGGTCTCGAATTCTGTATATTATGTAGAACTATAACTTATGAGTTGAACTGATTCTCATATCACATGTATAATGTGAGTTCTTTTTTCGTTCATGAATTAATAAATAAATTCATATCCATGGAAAGAAATCACGCTTTTGAGTTGAGATTGTGTTTATTATGTAAATCGACAGCAGCTACTAATAGTCAACAAACAAAATTGGTAACCGTTAGTTGAATGCTATGAGAATACAACACGTTAAATGAATGTCATATTCTGAAGAAAAATTATTTTTGAATTTTGATATGAAACTGTATAGAAATAGATCTAAAAGAAAATATATTGAGATCTATTCGCTATTGCTATTCTAATAAATGAGTATGGAAGATGGGTATCTTTTACAATAAACTATTCATCTAAAGACTTTTGTCTGTAAAATTCTTCAAATCATAATTCAAATACGAGTTTTCCTAGGAACATGACATTCACCTGAAATGGGCGTGTTTAATTTCTCAGTAATAAGTTAAGGCTTCGAAATCGTTTCGAAACATATACATATCTTATTTAGATTTAAAAAGGGTATCTTGTCTCAATTGAAAAGTATGTTATCAATTAAGCATAGTCTCTTCTCAGATAATCTTAGGATAACATCTAAGTTTGTTGGACAAACATTTTGAAATTCTCTTAAAATACATCTAAAAGCTAATTTCTTTTGCATATATGAAGTTTGTGGTGATGAACAATTTTTAAATAATGCAGAGTAAAAGTCAACATTTCATTCGGATATCGAGTTTCAATATATAAGATAGACTTATGTAAATCTTTTTATTGATGGTTTTTCAAGATATATCACACTTTGTATTGATAAAAACTTTTCAATTCTCTACAATCTACCATCAAATGATTACTATATTGTAAATAAAAAGTTGAATTCAGACAGAAAAATTCTCTCTTCAGTCATATTTTTCATAAATGCAAATTGTTGCTCATTTCTAATGAAAGAAAAATCTAAATTTCATTAAAATTTTTTTTATTCAGCAATTCTTTGTTGTTCATCTTCGTGATCCAAATCCAGCAGATCCAGCTGAAAATGATACCGATTCATTAATACCGTGTGAGCTAATGGAAACACGAGATGCATTTTTAAATTTTGCTCGTGATAAACATTTTGAATTTTCATCGTTGCGTCGTGCAAAATTTTCAACAAGAGCTTTATTATATGAATTACATAAATTAACAACAGATAAATTTATATATAATTGTAATATATGTCAACAACAATGTGATATACATTATCATTGTGCAATGTGTGAAGATTTTGATCTATGTGAAAAATGTTATAATATAGAACCCAAGCATGAACATAAAATGGAACGTTTTGTTTCATTCTCAGTCGAAAATTGTGATCGTAACTCTTCAAATCGAAATGATGAATCTGTCGTAAATCTACAATTACAACGTCAACAATTCATACAACGTTGTATTGAAGTCTTGTTACATGCTGTTAATTGTCGAGATGCTAACTGTCTTAAGCGTGATTGTTTTCGTTATAAGCGTTCTATACAACATTGCAATGAATGTCAAAGAAAAAATACTCAATGCAATGTATGTAAACAAGTTATATATCTTTGTTGGTACCATGCGAAAAGCTGTATGGATCAAACTTGTCAAATACCATTTTGTATAAGTTTAAAAAGTAAAATGCAAAAACAACGAATGACTAGTTTGCAAATAGATCGTCGTCGTATGCAAGGTATGATGCAACAAAGAACGAGTATAATGCAAGAACAACTTCAAGGTAGACTAATAGTTTTTACAGTTAAAAAATAGTAAAAATCAATCATACGATAAAAATATTAACTGAAGAATGTTGTTATCTATCAGATGTAGAGATATATGTGATTTTAAAAAAGTATTATTGTTGGATAGTGATCATATGATAGTCTTATCAATAGTTTGAACAATTTTCATGAGCTACAGAGTCACTCAGAATTAATGGTGTGCCTAACAGATGATCCTTTTCTGTCTAAAATCATTACGAAAGCTTGAAGTATAGAACTACGAATTTTATCTATATAAAATATCATCTTTGTATTCAATAAAATAAATGAGCACATAGATTTTAATTTCGCAGTAATATATTTCGTAGTTCAGGATGTCAAATGTGAAACAATTTTCTTGTTCATTCTTAAAAAATATGTTTTCTATTTATAGTTTAGAAGAAAACTATTCGAAAAAAGTAAACTCAAAATTATGTCCTACGTAAAACAATACTTAGAGTTTTTTAAATAATATTTTCAAAATCATCACATGTTTTTATATGAAAAATTCGATTATTGTCTAACTTAGTGAATTTAAAGCGAAAAGATTTGTGATCATTAATAAGAAATATATGCTTTATTTCTTTTTCCAGTAATATTTAAATGCTTCTTTTTCACCCATTTGATGCTTTCAAGAGTTGATGAAATGTCCTATCGTACAATTTCATAAGTCGTAGAGGACTCTGTTAGAAAGATTTTTAATAATGATATCGTAGCAAAACATAGTGAGTGATTGTCAACACTTTTCACAAACTTCTTTTAAAAAGTTAAAAAAATCATCAACAGCACTTTTTCATGAATTTGTGATACTTTTTTACAGTTTGTCTGATGCCGTTAACTTTTAAAGATGCTGTTATTCTTAATTTTATGCTTTCTATAAGATTAATTTTTAAAAAAAGTTTCAAACAAGTTTTCTGATTCCTATGAAGTCTTACTTTAGTTAACTATGTGATATCAATAAATGTAAAGAGAAGAATATACGATTATTATAAATCTCCGATAAGAAATTAAAGACCTATGTTTGAAATGAATATTCTAAAAGATCATTTTCATTTTAGTATCAGTTCCTCCGGTGCATGCTGATAGAATATCAAATCCTAGCCATGCATTGAGTTATGATACTTCTTCAACAAATTCAAAAATAAATAACTCATCATGTAAACCATCAGTAGTGCCCATTCGTACGCCTCAATATTCTACTAATTGGCATAATCTATCTCAACAGCAATCATATATGATGGCACAAACAACTTGGAACAGTAAACCGCATGTCAATGTAACTCAATCACAATCAACAATTCAATTAAATGCATTAATAAATCGAACTAAACAAGATTCATTAATGGATGAACAACAGCAACCATAATCGTATTCAACAAAATATCAGCAACAATGCTATCCATCACTAAACTATACTGCAGATACGAGCACTGTTTATATATCTACTATGCTACAACAAATTCAAAGTCAACCAACACAGCAAACACTTATATTACGATTAAGATCGAATTCCTCAACGATGTCACCAATTTATATATCACGAACAGCTTCAACACCGACTCTATTTCGGTCATCATTGTAAAGACCATCGCAATTTCCCTCTTAACAACAACGACTATGAAATCTATTTCCATGTTAATGTGTTTCGTTTATCTGATAAGTGAATAATAAAACTCAATGATAGAACATTGAAAAAGAAATCGAACGAGATTTATTCTTAGATATGTCTCATGATACATTTTTGAAATGTTTCATATTTAAGTAGCAAATATTCGAATTTAAGGAGTAGTACTGATATTATTAGATTCTAGTGGTGAATCCCAGAATATTTTTTTCCTATATATATTGTTGACTTGAATTGTCCTCTTTAATTCTGTTAGATTTTCTCATTCTGTATATCATATGATGATATTCAATATGGATTCTTTGTTGAACACAAAAGCATTCTACGTTCCAGAGCCTCAATGAAGCAATAATTTTGAAGGCTGGTCTGTTTGATGGTTCTTTTTCGATATGAAATGTTCATCTGATAAATTGGAAATGTCACTAGCAGAGTGGCCAGATCGAAAATTCAAAAATCAGAAAATTTTTTATTAAAATTGGAAAAGGATCAGAAAATTTTTTCGGAAAATCAGAAACTTATCAGAAACATCGTTTTTCTTCGAACTAGCGACTTCTATGTTCAGTTACTGACATAAAATCTTTCACTACTTTTATTTCATTGACCTGTACTTTATTTTCAAACGTTCTTCAGTATAAAGAAAGACAATATAGTGAAAATAACATATACTTGATGCGAGAAAAAACAACTAATAAAAGACACAATATGCCGAATTTGTTCACTAGATGAAAAACACATACAAGAGAGAGTACAAAAGACTCATATACATATATGTACTCTCTAAGATAAGAAGTTCAAGAAAAAAAAAGATTATATAGCACATACTCTTTTAACCCTTAGTTATATGTTCCATTTTTCGAACTTGTTTCAGCAAGTTTTTTGTGAAATAATATATTTTTCTAAAACTGATTACAAGAATGATTATTAATATTTTTAGTTAAATTTTGTTGGCACTTGATTTTCCATCAAAATGAACAGAAAATGCTTTAAGACAAGCTTTACATCGAGCCTTTATAAAATCATTATTTATTTTTTTCAACCAAGATGAATACTCGTAAATGGATACGGCTACTTCTCATTTGCGAACATAAAGAAAATAAGTTTTAAGCAAATTAAAATTTTTAAAAGTTCGTTTGATTTAAATTTGATAACTTTTTTAATTTTTCGTAAAATGATTAAAATTTATATTTAACTTTTAAAAATTTGATTACTGTGAACGAATATTGAAAGTAAATTATTTTAGAAGATTTTTAAAAAAGCTATTTTTTCTACTAAGGATACTGCAATTTGTAGAGGACGTTAGTTTTTTTGACAATAGAAGCTTTTTAAGCTTCAGATAGTTACTGCAATTTGTAGAGGACGTAAGTTTTTGATCAGAGAAATTTTTTTTTGAATTTAGTACCATTGCTGTAATTTGTAGAGGACGTTAGGTTTTGGTTCAATTACGATTTTCTTTTGGACCTAGCTGCGAAGAATTTTAATTGAAGTCAAAAGTAGAATGTACTAGCTGGTTTTTTTTTCTTTTGTTATTGATAAACTAACACTTAAAATGCACGAGCAAGGATGGTCGATTTGGGTTGAACTAAGAACTATTTTAGTTAAAGACAAAGCTAGTTTTTAAGGAGATTGTATCCTAATTTGTTGTGATAATCGACATTTGTTCGGAATGTGATGTGGGAAGAACGAGCTGTGATCGTCAAGAGAAGACGTCCATCAACATCTATATTTCTAAGCCGTCTATTTTAGAACATCATTTTTGTATTGTTGATTTTTATGTATAAATGCTTTTGCATCACAATCAGTTGTCTCCATTCGATATTTGATTCCATTTTATAATCATAATTGCATAGTCTGTTCAAAATCAAAAACAGATGATGGCATTTATCGTTACAATTATGTCTGGCGAACTCTATAAATTGCAGTCAATTAACAATAAAAAAGCACTACTATATTTTAGCGCACTCTACGAATTACAGTTCATTAATTGAAATAGTGAAACTCGATATTTAGTGAACTCTATAAATTGCAGTAATTAAAAGGAAAAGAAGCACTATTGTAGTTTAGCACTCTCTACAAATTACAGCTAGTTAAATTGAAATAATGAACTTCAATCTTTAGCGAACTCTATAAATTTCAGCAAGTTTAAAAATATAATTGAAAGTTTAAGTTGTATTAAAATTGTTGTCAATAATTTTTTTGAAATTTGAAAACAGAAAATTTGAGATCTAAGATTATTTTGAATTTGAATAAATTAAATTTAAAAAACAATTGCAATTGAATTTAACAGATTTTGAATTTCGATTTTATGTTCGCAAATGAGAAGACACGGATTGTGGGCTTGTAGTTTGTTATTGTCATTTGTTAATGTTATTGACAGAAATGTCAGTGGACAGAAAGTAAAAATCGAATGTAAACGAGTCTGTAGTTCATTATTATTTATGTGAAGAAAAGTCAGAGAACGAAGTCGAATTAATTGATCGATGGCAACATGAGAAAAGAATCGATCGATTGCATTTGGTGTCTTCTCATCATTGGAGAGAGTAAGTGAAATGAGATTTTCGGCACGAATATGATGACAGACAAAATCAAAGTTAATTCTTGAGATTGAAGTAAGATCAAGCTTGTATTTATTGTAACTATTGGCAATAGTCTTGAACTTTGTACAAACGTTCCGAAATGATAGAGCAATTGTTTGTCCATTGACATTGTCGAGAATTCGATAAAGAATTTCGGCAGGTAATGAATTAAGAGATGGACAATTGTATTTGATAATGGTTGACATATGCTTTTCAAATCTATTCATTACTTCGTTTGCACCGATCGATCATGCACTGTTGAAAAAATGAATAGTGATGTTTTTTCCCTTCTTCTTTTATATATCGTTCGAAGAAGAATCAGTCTGATTAAAAAAAAGACAATTGATCAATTGAAATGATAAGTTCGTCACCGTCGGACGATTGTCAAAAACAAGAGTCTATTGATTTCTCGTCGATAAAAAAATGAAGCGATTGATTGAGAAATATCGTCATAAAATAATGATGTTTACTCATAAGATTCTTGATTGTTCTCGTTGATCAGTCAGAGTTTGTCCACAATAAAAATTTATAATCTCTAATTATTTATTCATTGAAATGTTGTTCAATTGAAAAATATCGGAAGAAAATCAATCAGAAATAAATCTCATTCGATTGAAATTGATGTTCTTTTCTTAAGATCTTCGTTTTGAAAATTAAACAAAAGATCTAATAGAAATCAGAATTGCATCTTGAAACAATTCATGATATGAAATTTTGGGTGTGGGTGGGGTGTGGGTGTGGGTGTGGGTGTGGGTGTGGGTGTGGGTGTGGGGTGGGGGTTCGTGTGCGCGTTGGTGTGGGTGTGGGTGTGGGTGCGGNCAGAGTTTTTCCAGTTGAACTATTGAAACTTATTATTTTTAGTGAACAATATTGTGCGAAAAAATAACACATTGTTTGATATCTAAATGTATAGTTTGACAGTTTGTATTTGTAGAATTGACAACATTTCGATATTTATTTATTTATTTTTTTTCATTGAAATATATTTTATAAAAATTTAGATAAATATTATTCGATGTATTTTATAAGCGTAACTGTTATGGTTCTCGTTATCGAGTTGAACAAAAAGATAAAACAAAACGACAACCAACGATCGATCTAGATCATAGTGTTGATCGTACTTACATGACAAATCGTCATCAATCACAATTTATTGGTCAAGATCTTCTATCACGTTTTCATTTCAAAATAAAAAGAAAATAAAACGTGAATTAGATGATGAAGAATCTGATGCAGACGACATGAATAGTGATCACCGAATTGATGAACTAGATATTCTCGCTCATCAACAATCACATCCTTTGTAGGGTAGAAGAGAAAAACTTGTTGATCAATATTTAAATACGAAGGATGGGAACCCTGGGAAACATTTAAAAGAGATGACATATTAGGCTATCGTGAACATTTATTAAAACAAATCAAACAAGATTTGGGTGCAAGTCTATGTCGAATGGTATCTGCAGACAATCATGTTATGAGCACACTTTGTTGTTGTATTCTTTTTACACCAGACTTCAGCGAAATCAAGGATTCAATTGTCTCTTATAATCATCTCATATTCGATTTTGATACACATGAATTGGTTGTTGAAAGTTTATCAAATGAACTTCCGCGTCATTCGAACTATGATTCTCTTTTGTACGATTGTGTTCGAACATTACAACGTTCGATTCCGCAAGAAAATCCAATTTTATTCTATCGGGTTGCTATTAAAAAATTGGTTGAAACAACAAAAGGTTTCAATCATGCATCATATCAATGTTCTTATCCAGCAATTGAAATCGATCAATTTTCATTTCTTGATTATACATATTTATCACATGTTCACTTAGCAATTAGTCAAAATAATGATCATGTATTTGTTTTAGCAACATATGGTGGAGTCGCTGCTCTATAATTGATGAAGAAGTTCTATCGATTTTTATGATATTGGACTTTCGAGATGAAGAAATAGTGTTCATGGACTCTGTATAAAGTTTTAACTGTAATACTCAAAGAGAAATATATTAATGTATTATTTTCTAACAATGATAATACACAAAAATATCTTGTTCGATTTTGGGCATGGGTATGAATGTGTTAGACAAGGTAAAATCGTCAACCAATTTTCAATCCCATCCATTCACACTTACATCCACATATTCCATCCCTACATCCTTGTATAATGTCTACATATTAAAAATATAAAATAGAATACATGAGAAAAACATTTCAATATATTTGTATGAATTATCTGCAAAAGATAAAATACAGATTTGACAATCGAGTTCATCAACACCAATTGATCACCGTCTAAATCTGATAATTGTGAACATATAGTTGATAAATATGACAGAACGAAGCCACGCAAGAGACATGGATGTGGATACGAGTGTAGATCTTCTCTTCAAGAACATGCGCACCTAATCTGATGAACAGCTACATCCCAACAATATTCACACAGGCACAACTACAATCTTCTTAAAATTCGTACAACTTCAAATCTTTTCTGCAGTTAAAGCTAGGAAATTGTTCAATATATGAACTACAAACAATTTTTCATCATGCATCATTACCCATATCACTCGATATTTTTCTGCAGGGTTACGAAGCAACTTTTGATTTTCTATTAATATCAACAGAGTATACTTGAATATAGGTTAAATTGAAAATAAGTGTCCGAAATTTCGACTCGAATAGTTTTATGCTTGTATGTCTCGTAGATACTTTGATATCGAGATACTGAATCTATATCTTTGAAGAGAAATACATAAGCCATCTATCAAAAAAAGTTGCATTCAATTAGCATGAAATGTGAGCGAGTACTGCATGAATAAAGATTTCTAAAAAAGATGTCTAAGCCATTTTTTTTACTTTTTCTTTATAATGAATTACTCTCTCACTAATTTTTAAATATCTTTCTTCGTTTTTGATGGTTTGATTTAGATTTCTTTTCAACAGAATAATTTCCAATTCGCTGAAACATGTTTTGTCAGAAAAAGAGAAATAATTAAGTAATTTTGTAAAACAAAAGTATTTGTGAAAGTGAATTTTTTTTGCAATGTAATACTGATGAACAGATATAACTTTTCAATCCTCATTGCGCATTATTATTTCTATTGAGTTTTGTAGAGAACTTCGCAGGTTACCTTTTGAAAATAAGTGTCAAGCTAAATCATCAAAAATGAAGAGGAATGTTCACGATATATTGATACGATAATTTATTGTTGAGAAAAAGTAAAAAATGACTTTGAAAAAATTTTTTTTTTCAAAACTTTTTTCCGTGCAATACTTGCACAGATTTCACACTAATTCAACGCAATATTTTTTTTTGATTGATAGCTTAGATGTTGCTCGTCATTGTTTAAAAATTACTTAAAGTGCGTTCAAAATAAGTAGAATTTATGTCTTCTACAGATTGCAGCAATCTTTTTTTCTAAAATAAAATAACTTTTGATTAAAATTTTTTAAACAGTTATTTTCCTATATGAACTTGCATTTGATCAAATCTTTAAAAGTTATCTATCAAATTTAAGAGTCTTAGATCAAACAAAAAGATGAATTGAATATTAACAACAATTTGAATTAAGTTTAAAATTGATTTCCGTTATATTTGAAAATGAGAACCACAGCCTACATTACATCTACATTCTTTCTACTTTTTTTTGTTATTTAGCAATAAAATATTTTTTTTGTTGTTGTATTCAAGGCTGTCAGATGTGAGAACCGAAAATTTGAAAAAATTCGGAATTTTTTTTTTTGAAAGCTGGACAAATTCAGAAACTTTTGTTGGGTATTATTTTTAATTGCTTACATTAAATGTTTCTCAAGCGAAGTATTAATAATATTTATCTAAATTTTTATAAAATATATTTCAATGAAAAAAAATAAATAAATAAATATCGAAATGTTGTCAATTCTACAAATACAAACTGTCAAACTATACATTTAGATATCAAACAATGTGTTATTTTTTCGCACAATATTGTTCACTAAAAATAATAAGTTTCAATAGTTCAACTGGAAAAACTCTGTTGAAATGTGATTTGTTTAATGATCGTACATTGTTCATTTATTTACTGTCGTTAAACAAGAGAACAAAGAGAAATATATATGTAAGAATCAATATAAAAAAAAAAATTTAGCCTTTTGAACTGACTAATATAAGAAAGAATCAAATGTAGTTCGAATCAGTAATAAATTTTTGAAAATATGAGCAAACAAATGAAATATAATTAAAATACAAAAAATAGCTGAAATTTGAAAACCTGCAAATGCAACACTTTTCCTAGAGCATGTATTGGAAATTTCCAACACATTGAAGAACTGAGTTTTTTTTTATATCATGCATGCTATAAAAAAGAGCAAGCAACTGTCTTCGTATGAGTAATCCGAAGAAAGCAAAAGTATTACAGAGAAAATGAAGTAGTGGTGCGCTTAAGATCTTTTTTCTTTTTCGTTCTATTCTTTTTCACGAGTAGAATAAATAAAGAGAAGGATGCATGGTAAAAACATATCCATTAAGTAACTTTTCCCAATTGTTAACTATTTAAGTTAGTTCTATATAAAACTATAAAATCTAACCGATTTTTATTGTAGAACAACAGAAACATCATCTACGCGCTTAGTCTTTACAATTAAAAACAAGAAAGGTAAAAAAAAACGTTTGATATTATTTCCCTATGAGAGAGATGAAGGTTTTGTGAATCATCGCATTTTTTTTTGTGATTCAACAAAACAACTTCACGTGTTATTATAGATCACATGGACGTTAAGTGAATGTGAGTATATGCGTAGATAACGACTTGTATGCACTTACACCATTACTAATAGTATCGATAGTCTCTCTTAAAAAAAGTTTCTTCTTTAATATATGAAGGTACTTTGTAATTTATTTAGCATGACGAATTTTGAAATGGCGACTTGTATAGTATAAAAAATAGGATAGAATCGATAACAATGTCAATATTTTGTTCATATCTTAGTCAGTTTTCATCATTCAGATTTGATATTTTCAATAAAGAATTGATTGTCTTATTCAACACAATATATTATCATCCACTACACATATGCTTTGTGTTCCTTTATTAGAACGCAAGAAATTTTGACCAATAAAGTTACACAAAGGGTTCGAATTTTTCCCACAAGCATTTGTAATATTAATTTACTGTTGTTTTTGTCATCACATATTTGCATCTAGTTTTACTTACTAATGTTTTGTAAATAATTCTTTATAACAACATATTGTTAGAGATTACTCATGAGAGCAAAGAAATTTATCTCTTCGAAAACTGTGTATTTTACATATTTTTCTTTCATTTATATTGTCAATAATCAAAAAATACGCTAAACAACAGTTAATGAATATTCATTGCAGAACAAATCATCCTTCTTTTCTCTTCGAAAGGTATGTAACGAAAAGAAATGGAGACGTGCTAAGATAAAATCAACAGTAAATTAAATATAAAAATGTCTTTTCAAAAAAATACAATAACTTCTATAGTTGTAACATTAGCCAACACCTACTTTTTACACAACGTTTTCTTTTCGATAGTGGCAGTTATTCATCAAATGTACTACGTAGTAGAATCTATTCATTTGTCCATGTCAAAAGATAATTTTCACGAAACAAAATAAAATAGATATGTTGAAATTTTTCTGAATCTTCACAATTTAATACTGCATGATATGTGAGCTTTTCTCAAGAGTCAATCAACATTAATTGAAAATGAATATCAATTAGATTATTTATTGGTATGTTTCAACTTTTCTCTTACATTATTTATATATATGTATTGTTTCTATGTAAGTGTGGAATTGGAAAGACTTAAGAATGTGATTCAAATAATCAAAACCTAATGAAGTCATTATGTATGCACAACAATATTTATCGAAAATAATAGTTAGGAATACTGTAGGTAGACATGTTAAACCGCAAGGTTTTGGGTATCCAAAACCATGCGATTTAATATGCCTAGTTGTTGGTAAATACAACGTAATATACGACATTGTTTCATACAAGATCAAACAGATAATAATAGTTCACTCAAAGTTAACATAATTACAGTGAGAAAAAAAAACAATTACAATAAACTACTAACAGTCGATTGGATTTTTAAATAATAGTAAAAGATTAAAAACTTTTTAACTTGATTTTCGAATTAGACGTAAAACATATATCCTATTTCACTGCTCAAAATTAATAAAAAGACGATGTTCCAATATTTTGACAGCAAGAGAAATTAAATAATTCAACTTTTTTGTCTTTATACAAATTACAAAAAACAATTTCCTTTATTCATTTAACTTTTTTCCTTCTAGTTTGCAGATCTAAATCTATTCTTTTAGACTTCAATAATGAATCAAACACCAACTGATTCACGAAATGATATAATAATAACTGAACATCAACAACAACATATTGCAGGTCAAAAAGAAAAATCTATTCAAAAACGCCTTATTTTATTATTACATGCATATAAATGTCAACGACATGAAATAACATATCCAAATACATGTATAGTACCATATTGCAATACTATGAAAAATGTACTACAACATATGATAAAATGTGATAAGTATAGGAGCTGTACATATACTCATTGTTTTACTTCACGTCAAATTATTTTACATTGGAGACAATGTAATAATTCTCAATGTTTAATTTGTCAACCACTTCAAACACGCATAAATTTAGCGCAATTAAATCAAACAACAAATAATACTAATGATAGTTTAATACCAATACCAATAACAATTAATAAAGATTGGCAAAGACAGTTAACACAAGAAATGCGTCGTGGTTATATACAAAAAATTATAACGGCAATTAAATCAATAACAGATGCAGAAGTTATGCGTGATACAAGCATTAATAATTTAGATGATTATATTCGACATATTGAAGATGAAGCATTT